TTTTTCATGAATCTTCTTTCACTTAATTAAACGATAAAAATTCTTGATTCTATACTGACATTTGTATTTTTATTTCAGGTAAGATCATTACTTTTTCATTCTACGCGTACACCTGACGACCACCTTGCGGTGAGTACATTTATATCTTGATAATACCAATGACATTATGTAATAAATTCAAGAAACCATAAAGCTAATTGTAAAATGAGGAATCGATGATATTATATAGTTCACGAATACAATGATCTGCAATTGAATAACTTATGGCTTAGACGATGAGCGAATATGGAGCACCGCGATGCGAAAACCGTATCGGAAATTCAAATTACCTATAAACGAGTGCAATAGTATATGTATAGTTAGACAGAACTTGTAAAACAGAAGAGCGCATTATTATGCGACTCAGAAGAGGTTAAGCAACGTGTTACGGTAGAAAAGATACGTGTCCAAGGCATAATGTGTATATGTATAAATATGTGTATATGTATATACAAATGTGTACATGTGTGTGTGTGTGTGTGTGTGTGTGTGTGTGTGTGTGTGTGTGTGTGTGTGTGTGTGTGTGTGTGTGTGTGTGTGTATCTGTACACGGCACAGTCTCGGAACACACCCGATGGTTTAGCCAGCGGCGTTTGAAAATAGATCGGGGAACGATAAAGTATAGCTGCGTCGGTGAGCTATCGATGATTTGCGCAATAATCGCAGATAGATTTATGCTAGATGTAGATGGGATCGTTGAGAAAAAGATCGACTCGCGGATCGCGAGGGTGAAGTGCTTCTAGGCAGAAATATCAGCTGATCGGCAGCTCGTTCCCGCGTGAACTCGAGAAATCCGGTCCGACATTGATTGATTTAATCACTTTTTACGCGTGCAACACAAATTCTGAAATATTATGACATAATTTGAAAATATATTCCAAAACACACATCATCTCACTTTTATTTTATTTTATTCTCTAAATTACATAAGGGATACTTCATGTCTTCCGTTTATAAAAGATTTTAAGATTAAATGTCCGAAATGCGTTGTACATATTTCTTAATAATTTTTATTATTTTTATACTAATGTTAATATAATTATTTATTTATCCCTCTTTTATTAAAAATAATAATATTACATATTTTGAAAAGGTGCGATTAGACAAGACATCAAAATAGTATACAATAATTGTTTTCTAACTACAAAGTTAATTATAAGATATTTATTATTGTTAGAATTCGTATCTTGTATCTTCTCAATAAGTTCTTTACGAGAGTACACGCCTATTTCTTTCTTTCTTTTTTTTTTACGCGTAAATTGCGCAACCCACGAGAGAGCGACAGGGGCCTGGCTGACAAAAATGGACCCGGGAGCGGGTTGTGATCGGACCTGGATCGGACCCCGACCCAGGTCCGGAAATAATTTTGGTGCCGCGGGCGGGGAAAGCGACACTCTAGCTTGATAAACGTTTCTCTCCCTTTGCTCTCGCGCCTTCTTCGACAGCCGGATTTGCGCTACCGAGATACTGCCACCGGCTAAGCCCACGGTGTGCATCGATACCTGTAATGAAGGGCGATTGAAATGTCGCGCAACCCGTAGTGGAATATTTATTATCGCTTCTTGCACAGTAGCACGCCGTTTATTAGAATCACGGAATATTTATCGAAGTCATTTCATGCCAGGTAAACCTGAACTGCCGAGAGCATGCGGCTGTAAATCTGTTGAGCCACCGTTTCTAAGAATTTGTTTTTTTTATCCTGATGCAAATTGTCGGATAATCCGCATATGATAAGCAGGGGGCTTTCTTTATAGATTTATAGATTCCCGAAGGGGCTATGATGTTTATTTTAAAGATTATGCGTCTTCCTCATTTTGCATTTTTTTAATATCGCAGATGTATGATCTTAAAAAGTGATGATTAATAACTCTTATTTATTTATGCAAAACAGAACAAATAATTAATTTTACAGAATTCTCTTATCATTGATTATCTTTAATGCTATTAGTCATAACGGTAACGTCGTCCAATAGAAATTATATATCTTTATTTCACAAATTTTTAATCGCATAGTGAAGCTTTACTTTCCATTTGAGTCTTTTTATACAACTTGATTTCACAAAACGCACGAGATAAAATGTCATGCGCGTGTATCGCGAATTCGTCGTTTTAGCAACTGAAAGTGACTCGAAGCGAGAGAGAAGGAGAGAAAGAGAGAAAGACCCAGATTTCATTTTCGTTGATGAGCTTGGCACTGATCCAGCCCGCCTAAATATATACTATCTTTTTCTCCGTCTTTCTCTCACCTTCTTCTTCTCATTTTCGTCGGAAACGGATCGTTCCCGGTTCGCGAAACTAGCGGAAAAGCCTGAGAGCACTGCCGAGAATTATCCTAATACAAAACATGATACCAAAATGAGAAGATTAGAGTAAGACACGTTTAAATTTATCTTGTACAATAATGTCTTACATAGCAAATAACAGGCATTAACTTTAAAGTTTAATACGAACTGTTATTACACAAATAATATTCAGTCTTTATTTAACATAAAATAAATATAAATATATATATAAAATATATATATATAAAATAAATAATGCATAACCAGTGTCCGTTTTCCACAAAAAAAATCTATTAACTTTCGCCGAGGTAACTCCACGGGGCGAGGAAAGAGGAAAAAAATCATTTGTATATAATCTTTTTCAATTTTGAGAAGTAGAAAAAAAAAAGATGAAAAAACTGACGGTACATCGTGAAACATCGATTGTCGATTTCACGAAAGGGTGGACCGAATGCAAGAAACGTATGAAAAAAAATGAAGGATCGATATTTCGAATTCACTTTGCGCCGCGTGAGCCGGGCGGACCCGGTTCGTGCAATGGCATTCGAGAGGACCGCTTGTCAAACGCCTCGTTGTCGTAACGTAATTTATGACAGAGTCCGCCTGGAAATTTCACCTTACAACGCGCGCGCAGTTACAACGCTGCGGGTCCCGCCGAAAGAGCGCAATGAACCCATGAGAAAGCAAGCCTCTGCTGCCCGTGCAGGCATACACGCCGATTTTTGGTGGTTACATGTTCGCCAGTTACAAGCCAGCGCGAGTCTCTCGAGCTGAAGAAAACGACTTGGAGACTTTCGACCTTGGGATATCGCGCGCGAGTTCGATGTGTCGGCTTTTTCAACGAGCATGGTTACTGCGCTCCAATAATTCGCGAGTAGACACGGAAAATAATTCTCGTAAACGCGATTCGCGCGAAACGAGTTCCTGTATTTCCTGCGATTAAATGTTAGAAGTAGTGTTCTGTCGGTGATTCCAAAACGTTTGGTAGCAGCGAGAACTTGGCAGAAAATGAAAATTGAGTGTTTTCAGAGAGAACGCACAGGAGAATTTTATTTCGAGTGTAGTGTGTGTTTTCTTAACAAAAATTAACAGCCATCATTTTTCACTCTTTCTTAAATGGAATATTAAGTAAGTTATTAAAATAAATCATTTGAATTAATTTGCATTTTCTAATAAGTCATCAGATGTCACTTTCATTTAAAATCACGTTCTTTTGATTCAACTTTTATATTTATTCCCTTTTGCCAATGTTTCTTTTCCAAATTGTTTCATTAATTTTTAAGAACCTCCTACATCGTAATTTAAAATTTAATCTGTCATACGTAGACAAAGACGTGGTTGGTTTATTAAATGCAAATGTCAGGAGAACTCATAAACGTTATCAGGAAACAACTTGGTCCCAGCGTGGAAAGTTTTCTTCGACTCTATTCCAGCGGCATCGCGTCGCAAATTTGCGGTACTTTCACGGCGCAATTGCGCCATCGCGGCGTGACGCGATGCGGCGCGGCGATTCCGCGGCTGGTTTTCGGCGGCGGTTTACGACGACGAGAATGACAATGGCGTCGCAAAAGTTCGCACGCAACGACGACGCCGGTCGCGGCGGGTGAAGCGGCTCTAACGGTACATCCCTGCGCGCTTTCAGCGTGGTCTACCAACCTACTGTGCCTACCTACTACCTATCTATCTACCTACTTACTTACCTACATACCTATACACACATCGTTCACTCTTGCGGAGCCTAGGCCCGCATCGATCGCACGTATATGTATAACGCGTACATGCCTATCGATCGGCGTTGCCCCGACTCGCCTCGCCTTCTTCCCTCTCGCACGGGAAAAGCGAAAACGAAAAAAAAAAAAAAAAAAAAAACCCTAACGACCACCCTCACCTTTCTCTACCTCGATCGCGACGAGGAACGCGAGATCCCGCCACCCCTCGTGTGTCATGCTACGCCTCGGTTGTATTATATTTACACTGGTACCGTAACGACATCGAGGGTTGCTACTTTAACAATAAACAGGACGTAAGCCACATCATATAGTATCTAGGCTGATTACGAAGGAGGGTGTAAGTTATTATTGATATAAGTCGACAACACACTGACCTCCCCCTTTCGCGATCCGACGAATCAATTTTCTATGTTTCGAGTAGTTGAATATTTTATTTAAAATAAAGAGCTATTCTAAGTTGTTAATTATTCGTGCACGAGGCAAAAAAGGCCTTTAACCTTAACTTTTAGGTGAAAAAATTGTTTCTCGGTAACAATTAATTACAGTTTCCTAGAAATTTAATAAGTGCTTTGCTGTACCCTCTTGGCTTAACCGCATCAGTTAAAAGGGCAAGTGGTTGGAAGTGAAAGAAGTATAACATATTCATATGAAAATAAATTTGCCTCTATAAATAAATAATTATTTTTTTATCGCATTTATTTACTAATACATAATACAACATTCAGCAACTGATGCATACAATTCAAAGAGCGCGAACAACTTTGAAAGATTATAATTGCATTATCTATGTATATACCTTTTTTATTATAAATAAATTCTGCAGCCGTTTAATTAAACCAACTAACAATTATCAATAATATTAATTACTAATTATCACATGAATAATTGCATTTCACAATGATAGCAATAATAATGATAAATGCTTTATTTTTGGAGTTATTTAAAAATCGTTATTTAATAAAAAAATAATACGTATATGAGTATCGAAAAAAAAGAACTTATAACGGGATTTTATGTAATTCGTGAAATGCTGATAAAATTCCTAATTCGGACTCCGACTCGAAACCGCAATGTCCTCGACCGTTCGACTCATCACTCTTTTGTGTCCGGTTTTAAGTCACATGGGTCATTGGCAGTAGATGCGCGTAAATAACTGTAATTTGTCGTTTCCATTGCAGATGAAATAACCGGTAGATGATTGCGTCACAAATCTTCTATCAAACCTGCACGATTCCACGCCCATGTGGTCGGTCGAACTGTGAGAATTCGCAATAACAATAGTATCGCCGTCCGCATAACAATATATCGTTACAATATTATGTTATTCTTCGTTGATATATTCCATAGTTTTGAAATTTTTAATGGTAGTTGGATTTGCTTTGCAGAAGAATAGCAATGAAAAAGGTCCATTTTTCAATTATTATTTGGCTGCAAATTAGCAAAATTAGTTAATGTTACGTTGAAGTTGAAAAATATTATTAATAAATATAAATATAACGTGATTACAATGAACATTATATTTTTTTTTTATGTTAATTAATTTAAAAACTACATTTTTATTAAGTTTACATATCTTTACATATCTTTGTAATAAACGCAGAAATAAAAACAAAATGAAACTGAAAGTTCTTTTTGCTTTATAATATTTTGCAGAATATTTTAATCGGTTAAAAATAATTGATTATAATAATTATATATACTCTCTCTTTCCTAGTTTAATTTTTAATTTTTTTAATTTTTATTTCTTTAATTTTTTTATAAACGTACTTAGTAGTATTTATACTTCCCACGCGAGATCCATGCATTTACAATGTCATGTAAATATTTCCGAGCGGTTTGAGTTCTTTGAAATCCGAACGATCCGAATCCAAAGGCTCGATAGCTCTCCTCCATCTGGCATTAAACATAATATCTCAGTTTGGTTTTATATATCAGATTTAAAAAATTCCGGTTCATTTTTTTCACGGCCAGATAATGGAAACCCTCTTCCCGTTCGGGCCGATCGATTCGATTGCGTCTTCCCACGTACCTGCGGAGAAGACGTCGTCTGGAATAATGCGCGAAACGACAATGAGCTTGAGTGGGAGGGAGTGAACGACCTAACGGTGCGATATCGAGTGTCGGATGCTTTTATACGATCATCGGGAAAAGGTTCTATATATTTTGATTCTAAGCAAAGAGGAACTGTTACACCGAAAAACGCCAATATATAACAGTGTTATGTAACGTTAAATTTAAAGTATTTACATATACTTCTCATATTTGATATAATTGAATTAAGTATGAAAATATGAAAGTAATCCTGTGGAAATAGGAAAATGAGGGATAAATACGCGAATAAAAATATGGAATCTGCAACGATTACTTAAGAAAAGAAATAAATGAAAATTAAATAGCTTACTAACAAGAAATGTGGTAGAATGAAGCAATTTAAGTCGAGAAAAGCCAAGACCAAAGAAGAGAAGTTATGAGACGATGATTATAATTTATTTACGGTCGTAGCAATTATTAGACTTTTTTTAATCATTACGATCTTCGAAAAAAGACATTGACTCTCGCAATTACGTTTCTTTCCCTTCCCATATATTGCAGTACGTGATTTATTCTACGACGAGCGCTCATTGAAAATAATCTGCGATTTTCCGCGAAGTTCTTTCTCTCAATTACTATTAATTTTCAATTACTATTAATCAATTACTATTAATCTATTTCATATCATCTATAATTTTAACTTTGTATTTAAATATTAAGAAGATATTAAAATCTTTATCTTTTTTCTATTTTTCATAACTAAGAAAGATTATGAATTTACAGGGAATAATATTCACTATTAAATTATAATTTTTAATAATTAATTTTTATTATTATATTATTCTAACATCTTATCTTCTTTTGATACCTTAATATTACAAAATAATAAGAAATATTCTCTTATTAAGACTAAAACAGAATAAAAAACACCGCTCCAAGGAGAGTTTGAAATTTTCTTTGATAACAAAAAGTTTTATATATAATCTAAATTAAAATAATATTTTGAATCTAAATACGTGGCTGTTAGTTTAATCTCCATTGCATTAATCGCCTTCTTGAAATTCTCGTCATTTAATTTTCTATAACCAAATAACCACGTTAATTCGGACCGTGCTGTTTCAATAACGGGATTAAGATTCACGATTAACCTTAACGATAATACCTGGATGACAATGACGATGACGACGACAACAACGACGGTGCCTTTCCGTTAAGTGAATAACGCCTGCCTCGTCACAACGACGACGATGACGATGACGACGACGACGACGACGACGATGACGACGACGACGACGACGACGACGACGACGACGACGACGACGACGACGACGACGACGATGACGACGACGACGACGACGACGACGACGACGACGGCATCCCTACCGATCGATCGCTTTTAGGATCGATCGTGGCACAGTGAATGCGTGCGCCATCCTGTAACCAGTCTCGCTGTTCATAGACAGAAAGTAAACGCTTTTAACCCCCTCCCTGTTCTCCCTCTCTCCCACCCTTCTGTCACATATATGTGTTACATTTATGAAGGGATCGTTATGAAATCGTTCTTTATTATATTTATTAGCACGCAACGAAGAGCTGACATAATCGGAACGCTGAGTAAAAAAGCGCACTCTTTAAACGAGGTCTTACTAATGAGTTTAAAAAGCCTGATTATTTAATTGTTTTAATATATCCTAAGGAGATTATATAATCAATAACTTGATAGAAAGGATTGTTCTCTGAATTAATTAAACGTGTAATTCTTCTTATTAAAGCTGTAAAAGCGCAGAAACATTTCTATTATTATATATTATATATGTATTAGTAATATCTAAAAATTGGATAGAAATGTGTCACAATCAGTATCTGAATCTATAAATGGGATACATTCGTATCAGAGAATCGATAATTCTTCTAACAATTTCTGTTTCTCTTTCCGTATGCTCTCATGTCGTAATGACGTAATGTACCATACGCATGTATCAGAATTCTTCGAGCTGAAATCATCTCAAAAGCTTATATTTTTATTACGTCCGTCCTGTCCACCCTTTGTAATCAGGACGGTTAGCATCGAATACCTTGCGATCAGAGCATCGTCCGCGTCCGTGCGGAAGACTCCGGAAAGTATCGAAGGGAGCATAGGCCGCAGCTCGACCTACCCCAACGTGATCCTGTTTACAGCAACCCTGCTACCCTTTTCCTCTCGCATCTCTTCAGTCTCGACTTATCTAAAAGCCCTCCACCTTCCGCTCCTCCTTTCTCACCCTGCCACCCCATTCTTCTTTTCCGTCGTGAGAGTTTCCTTACTCACAACGCGCATTCCCTCCTTTCCTCCTCTCTCGCATCCCCTCCGCGTCCCTTCCACCCTTCCCATGCCTCCCACTTTGTGCCCTGCGCACCGAGCCCTCCTCGCCGTCGCACTCACGCTTTCTTCGTTTCTCTCTCTCTCTTTCTTCAACCGACTCGCAAACGCGAAAGACAGACAAAGAGGCACTGATAGAGAGAGGGACGAGAGAGGGAACGAGAGGGCGAACGGTGGGGCTGGCTCTCTCTGGTCTTGCGCGACGCGTACCAGTCAACCCAGAGCCACGGTCGTGTGACAGCCACGGTGTCCGTTAAAGGGATCACTCGCAATCGACACAATCGCGACTTCCCTCAAGTGTGTCTCGCGATATTTCCCGAGCCCTCCTTGTTCTTTCTCTCTCAACAACGAGCATCGTACGCTCGGCCCCGTTTCGTCTCGGAGTGACCGGCCGCAGAGTGATCCGCGTGCGTTTCCGTAATACTCGCGGAGTGACCGGCCGCTTGTCAAGTGTACCATATCGCACCACATCGCACGCACCGCGCCGCACCGCGCCGCACCGCACCACACCGCGCCGCACAGCACCGCGTCGCGTCGCGTCGCGTCGCGCCGTGCGACAGCGACGATTGCGCGAAAAAAGAGGCAGAAAGGAAAGAACGCGTGAGACCCGGGTGAGACCCACCGACACCTCCGTGTGTCACCTCCGATCGCCGCAGTTGCCGCGTCCGCGAAGGGACCGATGGCACGCGGCGAGCCGGAGCCCATCCTCGCGGTTGCTCGGCCCGCGTGCGGTCTTCGCGCGCGGATAGTCGGGATGCGGAGGGGCTGCTCGTGACTGTCCGCGCGAGTGTGCCAGTCGACGCCCCGCGTACGGACCTACGGAATATCGGAGTGCCGGAGGTGGACGACATCGACGTCGTGTTCATCATTGTCGTCGTCGTCATCGTCGTCATCATCGTCGTCGTTGTATTCATCTTCATCCGCTACGTGCTCGCGGATATCGTCGTGCACGTCGTCGTTACTCGACGGCGCCGCGACGAAAGGGAAAAAGAGGAGTATCGACGTTTTCTCGTGCCGGCGGCGGGGTGCCACCCTTTGCGCGCGGAGGGACCGCAGCGGCCGGTCCGCATGGGCCGCACGACGCGTCAGTGAAAGTGAGTGATGCGAGCGCGTCCGCCAACGTGGAGGAGGGGGTGGAGCGAGTGCAACTGCGGGGCGAGCAAGTGTCATCGCGATCTCTTTGGGGTTGTTTTTATCCTTTTGTGATACCTTTCGACACGCGTCCTTGGGGGGTTGCTGCGACACTACGGAATTGTTCAGATCGACGAACGACGACACAGTGGTGGGTTGCAGGATAAAACTTATCTCTCGGCTCGTTTCGTGTATGTTCTCCCTTCCCTCAGGGAGAGGGTGTCTCCTGGGAGAAGCTATACATCAGATAGCGACGTAAAAGTCTTGAAAACTGGTGTGGCAGTGTATTATCTTTCTCGTTTATGAAAAATTCGTATCGTCAAACAGAATTACCATGTTTCCGTTAAAATATATATTATAGTCTAGAAATCTTGAAACGGGTTGAATTAGTATAGATTTTAGAAATGTTATTTTAATACGATTATAGACGAAAACTATTAACTTTGTCATATTCTCTGTGTAAATTATTAATTTAATTAAGTTATATTTATTACTATTTTATGAATTGTTTATTTAAGTATGTACTACATTTTAGATACATCTTGTCGACAGATATAAATATGTTCGATTGCTTTCTTGCAAAACCGTAAATAAATCTGATAATATTTAGCACTGAATAGTAAGACAGTCATATTTAGCACTAAATGTAACGGAAATATTGGTATTCGAGATATGAAATTAATTTGTTTGATAAATTTATCTTTTAATAATTTTCGGAGGTTTTTCGATTTTTCGTATGATGTAGCAAAAAAGCATGACTTATTCTCTGATATCTAATAACGTACAGGCTTCAATTAATGGTTCTTCTGTCTCGAAAAAATTCACTCGACTTAAGAAAGCTTGTGGATATATTACAGAATATAAATGATGTGATTTCCATTTTCTCATCATCGATCTTTCATAACTTTCCTTCTTCTTTTTCATCTTCTTTTTTTATGATTGTATGATATTTACCCTGCTCTCTCTCTCTCTCTCTCTCTCTCTCTCTCTCTCTCTCTCTCTCTCTCTCTCTCTCTCTCTCTCTCTCTCTCTCTCTCTCTCTCTCTCTCTCTCTCTCTCTCTCTCTCTCTCTCTCTCCCTCCCCCTCTCCCTTTTCTCTCTTTTTCTGTTAGCAACTCTCTTCTCTTCATTTCTGTCTTTCTCGCTCTCCTTCTCGTTCTCTCGCCCACTTCAACATTTACCTCCTAGTTATGGATATTATTAAGTAATAATACCTATATCGCACGCACAGCGATACAGACGCGTGAATGTGTACGTTATGTGCGCTGCACGCAGGCGAACGGAAAAGCGCGGGTTCTCATTCCGGCGATATCTTGCATTCGCAAGACAATAATCGGAGATCTATTCCTTTCTCGATGCAGCTAAAGTGCGCGATAGAAGAACTAAGAACTAAGAATTTCCCGATACGACCACGGATTGTACTCGGATGAAAATCAATGCCAGAAGTACGCTGTAAGGGATATATCCGGCATATTTAATCCATTCTGTCAACTTTGAGTTTTTCTCGAATTTTTTCGATGAATTCGAAATCGCATTTCTCTTTCGACGAAACTTTCTCCTAAATTTTTTGGCATTACGTGTATCTTTTGCTTTATATTAGGTATTCTGTTGTCAAAAAATAGAACGGCGGGTTAACGTGAGATCTTGAAAGGACATTACTGAGGAAACGATATATTTGTTATTTAGGTGAATCTTGAATCGGTATAATGTGCAAAAACTGTGTGATACCGGCTATGCACGATGGAATAATTTACACGCTATAATCGTGGAATGTATATTAGAAGATAGACTATTCCCGCTGTTATCTACAACAGTGTCTTCGCAATGCGACCGGAAGTACCCACGTGACGCGATGGAACGAAGACGGCGATAGGAAACATGAAATTACGTTATATGCGAAGTGTCTTAAAATGTTTGGCATCAGTAGCAAAACGTCTTCTTAATTAAATCCCTGTCAAAAAGTAAATCGCGTTTTTCGAAAAAGTAAATCGAAGATTTCGTTTCAGAATATCTCTTCATTCACAAATTTTAAATGTGTTCACAGTTGTCTCACGAATTTTTATAACTTTTATAACTTTTTTTATAATTTTTATAACTTTTTCGCGATGCAGAAGTCGGTTGCAGATTTACCTCATATAAATACTAATAATACATGACGTGTACTTTATTCCTTGTTAACGTCACATTACGTGACATTTAATCTATACATGTGAATTTATCTGTGGTTGAGGCGTATCTGGTATTACTTTATTGTCTTCAATACAACCAAGGGAAATCATTTATTTATATAGATCAAGTTCGATAGCCGCTTCGATTCTCCGCTTCTGATGCATGAAATAATCATCCAACGAGTCGTCTTTTCTAAATCGACAGATAGGGATAAGCGCGAATCGCGTGCGCACAGTCGGGTCACCTGTGCACATTTCTGTCTCTCTCTCTCTCTCTCTTTCTCTTTCTCTCTCTTTCTCTCGTGATAATAGCGATGCCGTAATAACACCGCCGACACGCTCGTGCCAGAACCGAAGTATACGCTCGATGTATACGACCTAAATAAGATGCGATGCCCCCCCAGGGCGAAAGTAATTCACACGCGCGAACGGGAGCTCGTGCGCGCACACGCCGTACTTCACCGACTTTTAGGCTTTATTCGCTGCACAATTCTGATAACGTTTGCACCTTACCGCACCTGACTTTACCGCTAGCAGCGGTAGCGGCAGTTAGATATAAAACTGGCTGTTAAGCAACTTATTTAT